TATAATTTTTATTTTTTTTTAAATATGAAAATAAGTTTCTGAACTGTCCTGGAAGGTCTGAAAGTCAGCACTTGGATAGAACAGAAAACAGGCTGTGCACTTTAATAAGAAGGTGCACTATGGAAATGCAAAAAAAGAAAAAGTAAGTCAGAGCTTACAAGCTTTCAGAGAAAAATAATTACATGAGAGAAGCTACAGGCTTCTAAATCTGCAGGTAGAGGGCAGAAATAGCTGTATGTACAGACAAAAAAGGACAGGCATATATCAGATAAAATGAGACTTCACAATTTTCTCTAGCACCTGAAGCAAGTTCTCAGGACTTCCACAGTCTATAGAGAAAGTCAGACCTGTCCTTCCTTTGGCATTTTCTCAAGCTCTGCTTTTCCGTGGACAAATGCAAAGCCCAACCTATAGAAAATCCCAAACCTACTCTTAGATTCCAAGTCTCCAGAAACAATTACAATATTCAGTTAAAAAACATCAATTTTAAAACTTTAAAGGCCTGGATTTGTGCTCATTTACCCTAGGCTATATAAAAAATAAAAACAATTCCATATTACATCACAAACCTCAGATGAAAGTATTGTCAGATGGATTCTCCATAAGAATGTTCTAGGTTTGCTAGTTATAGAAACTGAAAACAAAAAAAATCTTTGGATTGAAAAACCTCACAATTGAACTGTTCACGTTAAAGGAAATGGTTCCAACAACTTGAAGGCTGAAGGAAATTCAAATCTCTGCATGTGATTCTAGTTAGCAGCAGGAAAGATATCTGTCCATACATAGGTTATATGTTTCTTTTTTTAAGAAGCTTAGAGACAGGTTTCCAAAACAACCCAAATTGCAGTTTATTACAGTAGTGCTGTCCTCTGTTGAGCTATCTAGGAGAACAAGACCTCAAAACCTTTACATCTAAAAGCTGGAAAGCTACTGGAAAGCAACAGCAAATAAAGCTCAAAAAAATAGGCTAGCCCCATGAAGAGACAAGATGAAACTGTCTTAATATGGATTAGAGTGGTCTCAAGAAAACAAGTATCAAAAATGAGTAAAAAGAGAACCTTTAGCACTGCGTATAAATGAACCAATGAAAGATCATCCCAAATTGTTAAGAAGTAAGAGAACCTCTCGATTTAACATTCACACAAATGTCAGATTCTCCACTTCTTGGTTAAACATTCAGCTGGGATCTCAATCAATGTTTGGAGTGTGCACGATCAATTTTGAAAACAAAGATAAAAGCAAAAAAAAATTAGAAATCTAAGTTGTTTTCTAAAAAGATAAACAGTCAAAAAATGAGACCGTGGAAGTCTGGGAATTAGGGCTCTGTTGTAGAATTATTAATGACTTAATTATGGCTCAACTCCATGCCTGAACTTCCACTCCTGCGTGAAGTCTGCTCTAACAGAACTGAACATGACCTAAGCTCTCACGATTCATGGCTATATATTAGAAAAAAAGGCACTGGCCAGGCATCAGAAATGAATCAATATTCTGAACTATTAAAATGACAAGAATTCCACAGAATTGCTTAAAGGTCTAGAAAAAAAAAAAAAAAAAAGCCCACATTCACAGCCTAATACTTTGAACACAAGCTCCAAGAGCAGCTTCTCTAAAAATACAGAGGAAAAACTATTCTGTAAATTTAAATGTGTTGCGACACATGCACTTCTCTTTTTACCATGTGGAGCAGATGCTTGGGAAATATTGTCTGCAATTTGCCAGCGATCATCCATAATGACATTCAGTGCCCTAGGACTCCATGCCCTTGGGGAAACCTCTCTAATTTCTCTGACAGAGACTACTTTTTCGTATCCAGACCTCCCCCATTTCACTGACAAGTTCTACGTTGCCTTATCCAGGAAGATACGCAGGAGTCTGAACCCTGGTTAGCCAATTCTAGTAGTTCCCAAGAAATATTAAGTATGATAAAACAGCATTTCTAATGAGAGTTATACAAAGTTCTTCCTGAACTTTTCTCAGCAAGTTACAGAGGAGTCACACTAATTGCTTCTACTGATACAACCCCTCGTTCATTCAGCCACGTTCTGAAGTCGCAGTCGCCCAGTGCCCTCTGATTTAAATCAGCGTGGCTTTGTTAAGGTGCTGGGTGTGAAAGGATCGATTTTTTTCAGACGATGTGTGTCTTTCCTACAAATACTTCAGTCATTGTTAACAGTGAAGCGGAAGCAGAAGCAGCACATGCAACCACTGAATTTCTGCTTTGAATCCTATTTTTTTTTCTTCAAAACTTCAAACTGAAATTCATCATTGATCATCTTCCTTTTACACGAACAGACTCAATCATTAACCTCCAAAATTCTAGTTCAGACTGTTTGATACACTTAGAAGTCGAGAGACATCAGAGACATGTATCTGACTTAGACCTCTACAATCTTACCTTCTTCTGAAGAACATTAACTTTGCGTTCCTTCACCTCTAACATGTCTTTGAGGTCATGGATCTCTCCTGCTTGAGTCCCCTTCTCCTCTGCCATCTCCTGAATCTGCTTTGTCTTCTTATTGAGCATAGTCTCCTTCTCTTCCAGGCGTAATCGTAACGCATCCACCTAGATCCAAACGTGCAGAATTTGTTTAGCACTGAAGGAGAGAAATTTTAGAAATAAACTATGCTTCCAAAAGGGACTGAGTGCTGTCAAATTACAAATAGATTCAGAAAACTAACATCTCTTACCTTTAAGACTTCAACATACATAAGCTTATGATAAAACAGTTAGCACAAGCGGAAGGAAATTAAACAGTACAAATAATTGAATGTTTTATTTCCAAATCATATGAAACCAATGCTAATCTTGCAAAATCTCAAACCATACTTCTGACATAACTCAGTCTTGCAAAATACAAGTCTGGATTTCCCCCCCCCCC